TGATGATAGATACAATATGGAACACGATGATGGGTTTTTCCATCAGTACATGCACCAATGGTCAATGAACCCGAACAGAGATAAAATGTATGGACCAAAAGTGACACCAGAAGGAACATTGACAATAGGTGGAGTTGACATTNACCAGAAGGAACATTGACAATAGGTGGAGTCGACAATATCTTTGTCAATGGAGGAATAATCAACGTACTGGAGAAAAAATTCCTGCTGACATTAGGTCTTGTGGACTTACTTTTTTCGAAAAATCCCGGTGTTTACTCCGAATCGGATTTGCAGGCATACAAAACAATTTTACTCGAAACCGGTGTACATTTGAATAAAGACGGAACATTAAAAAAAGGAGGTCAAAAATATGTTAACACTATTAAACCATTGTTTGAAAACAATGATGGTGGTAGCGCAAACAATTCCTTACCATTATTTGAAAACAGCAGCATCAGTGACACATCTATTATCGGTGCGGGTCTACAGTTAAGGTTGAATAACAAGAAAAAAGAGTATGTGTACTGGGACGAACCCAATGAGCTCGTAGATCGTTTACGTTTATTGATATCGGCCCGGTCAGCTGGTAACACTGGAGTTGCACCGGAAATCATTTCTATATTGGAAGAGTTGCAGGAAACCGGTTACATTGAACAAATACCATCAACATTATGAATAAGAACATTGCCTATGAACTACATCAGCAGGCCCGTAGGACGTACACCCGTGCTCGAATAAATATCAAAGGTCTCGATGATGTTTGGCATGCTGACCTCGTGGAAATGCGCGCATACCCCGATCGACGTCATCGGTATATTTTAACGTGCATCGATGGATTTTCAAAATATGCGTAGGCCATTCCGTTGAAAAATAAAACAGCCAAAGAAGTTACTGCTGCCATGAATGGAATATTAAAACAAGGTCGTCATCCTAAACTTTTGCAAACGGACAATGGTAAAGAATTCTACAACAAACAGTTTCAAAAACTGATGTCACAATATGCAATCAATCACTATTCAACTTATTCCACTATGAAAGCCTGTCTCGTGGAACGTTTTAACCGCACGTTGAAAAACGCAATGTGGTGCGATTTTAGTGCACGTGGTTCGTACAAGTGGGTGAATCGGTTGCCTACGCTGTTGCACGAATACAATAACGTGCGTAAACATAGAACAATCGGAATGATACCGGTGCAAGCTGTGCAAAACCCCGACCTGGTTCGACTCAAGTTACGCAAAATACCCGATAATTTACCGATAAAATTCCACGTGGGTGACAAAGTTCGGATTAGTGTACATAAATCAGTGTTTGACAAGGGTTATTTGCCGAACTGGAGCACCGAACTATTTACCATAGTCAAGGTTAGACAATCAGTACCACCAACTTACTATCTAGAAGACTATCAGGGAAATCCAATACGTGGTGTGTTTTACACCGAAGAGCTGAACAAGACCAGTTATCCGGACATGTATTTAGTCGAACGAGTGTTGCGAACACAAGGAGATCAGTGTTACGTTAAATGGTTAGGATTTGGCCCAGAACACAATTCATGGATACCGAAAACCAATATCTTACCTCAATGATTGTCGATATACAAGGTATTGTAGCAGCTGACCGATCGTTTTTGGTCAAGGAACTGACTGCTATTGCCATAGACTGCACTTCTTTCGCCCATTGGATGTTCAAACATCCAAAAAGTATCAAGGAGGATGCTAAAACAAACTTTTGGTTGAAAAAATACCTACATGGAATGGATACACGTTGCGGGGATGTGGAATACAATGAGTTGCCGAGAATAATGAAACTCTTGCGATGCGAAACCATTTACGTGAAGGGAGCTGTAAAAAAGCAAGTAGTGGAAAAGTACATACCAGGACAACGTATAGTCAACGTAGAGGATTTGGACTGTCCTCCTCTGTACAATTTAAGTTGTATTACAAAACCATGTTGTATCCGACACATGAACAACCCAAATATGTGCAGTTTATATAAGACTATATGTTTAAAACAATGGATGAATTATAACATGTAACGCTATTGTATTAAAAAATATATATATTTATATAAACACGAATACTTTATAATATTCATTTTTATTTCTACAATAAGTATATTTTTCATAAATAAATTATAAATTAAAGATTATATAATAAATTGACATATATTGTTAATAAAATACTAAATACAATAATATATTTTATACAAAATAAATTGTTATGTATTTAAAGAATAATGTCCCCACGCTTTTGTATATACATTTTTATACTCAAACTCATCACCGACTATTGCACGCTTGTCATAGTTGTTGGACAATGCGAGTTTCCTCGTTTCTACCGTCAAAACATTGTGATGTTTTGAACGTATGATGGAAATTTTCTTGTGAATTTGTTTTAGTTTATTTCGCAAACAATTTAAATAGTCAACCATATTTATTTCATGTTTCACTACACCCATACTAATACCCTTCAATCGCTTCACTTCTTCTTGCCGCAAAACGTTTTTATAATTTTTGTAGGCAATCAGGTACGCATAGACTTTGGGCAAGAGTGCAACAATTTCCTCCATATGCATACCTTTACATTCGTCGGTAAATGTACCCGGTTGTTTTTTACGTTTATCACTGTAACATGGATGATCAGTGGGATAGTTGGAAGTGTCGAAGTATTCAAACAGATATTTTTTCAAATCATCCTGAAAACTATGCGTTAATATTAAATAAATAAAACTGTCTGTATCCATATACACGAGTCTAAGTCTTTCAGGACCATAAAATGGTTGCATTATATCATAATGAAACTTGTACATGATACATTTACTAATATCCAACACGGCCTGTCCAATAAAAATGGGTTTAAAAAAATTAATTTTTTCTTTATACATGTGTACAGCTACAAGGTTTTCATTAAATATTGTGGTGTGACCAAACGACGGTTTCGCTACCAGTTTTGATAATTTATCTTCGTTACAAACAAGTTGAATATTTTGATGTTTTCTCACGTTTTCCAATGTTTTACCTAGTAAAATTAAAAATTTTTATTATTAAAAAAATTAAACGTATAAAAATATTAGTAATACCATAGTTGGAGTTGATCATATATTTTGGTAGATCTTGTTCAAACTTGTTGGAGGCTTTTTTACGTAATTCTGTATTCATTTGGATGTAGGGTGCCAACCATCGAGATTGTTTAAACTTTATGACTTTATGCAGTTTTGTGATAACCACACCGTGTTTTACCGCTTGCTTTAATGTTCGATAGTGTACAACGTAATTACGTTTTGGAAACAATGTGGTCATCAGTTTTTTGTATTTGGCAGACGGTAGAGGTGGTCGCTCGTTTACCGGAAAAAATGGTAAATCGTTGTGTAAATCATGTAAATGTTGTGGATAATCTACATCGACTTGCACAAGATATCCATGATCAGCATCCTCAGCTGTGTCAAGTATTTCCTCCAATGTAACAGTTGACCATTCAAAATTACCAAGTGGCATCGGTTCCATCATTGCTTAAAAAAACAAATGTTTTTTTACACAAATATTAATTTTTTTTATTTTAAAAAAAAAACTACCTGTTCCATATAAATTTGTAGCATCTAGGTATTGAAGATATTTATGTGGAATATTGGGATTGTAGTCAGAGATACCTGGATGATTTGCTCGAGCATACCGCTGATTGACCTATATTATATATATATATATAAATATGTATATATTTATAAATATTATTAAACATATTTTTATATTTTTAATAATCACACATACTTGTGTCAAACCTCCACGTATACCCAATTCAAACATTAATAACATATCTGGGTCTGTTATCAATTCAATGTTGACATCAGTATATTTTAACATAGCATCAAATGATAGGGCTGGACATGAGTAATAATGAGTGGGATCCAGAGAATAATTTTTTAAACTCTCCGCGCGAAACTTTTCAAATATGTCAGCAAGTACCTAAAAAATAAATGTATTTATAATTGTTAATTACTAAAAAAATTAACAACATACCATAACGTCGACAAGTAAATACTTGTCACTATAATCACCAATAGTTTTGCATTCAAAGTGTTGCCACATTTTTTTTGCATGTTCATAGTCCTCTTCGGATACTGTATTTTTCGTAATGGAACTGTAAAAATTTTCGCGGGTTGGCAACTGATTTTCGTCGAGTTTTTCCCAACTGTCTACGTATTCGTATGGGAAAACCGATTTCCGTGTGACCAACTCCAACGATTTAAAGACATTTAATGTATGTGCAAAATCAGGTAAAGTCAAGGTGGTTGTAAGTTGATACAAACTCGCTTGCAAAAATCGATATGAATCTATAAATCGAAGTTGAAAATAATCGCTTATTGTCTTACTGAACGAAATATATTTTTCTTCGGATTGTGCTATAACAGTAATGTCTTTATTGTCGTAAGCCATTTCTGGTATTATCATGTGCGAGTCATAGTTTGAAAGACCATGCATGATAACTGGTATGAATGCGGAATATCGTCGTTGTAAATTACATTTGTGGCATAAAACAGCTCGAAATTTTGCCGTCCAATGATTATGATCCTTGACTTTTACTAACTTATCGGTAAACTCTATTAAACACGAGTCGCAATGTTTTGTGGTATTGAAACGATGTTGTTCCTCAGAAGTTAGAGGATTCATCTCGATGTTAATTTTCATGATATCTGATACTTGTTTTCCAATATCCACCAACGCTGATACAAAATGTTTAGCAGCATCAGGTCCTCGATACATTACTGGTTCCTCCGGTAATCCCTGACAGATGTTTTGCGGTAATATTTTGGAGTTGCGTACTAAGTAAAAACAATAACTCATTGATTTATGTTTTTGTATAATCATAGACTTGTCCGATATTTGTTCCATCGTTCGAACAAGTAAACTTTCCATATCAGCGTAGATAACTAACGGTATTGCTTCTTCTCGTCTTGTGTTTTTAAAACATAATATTGAAAGATCAGAGTTAGGCTGTGGTAGAACAATGCGAGCCTCCTTGAATTTTCCACACATTTTTAAATGTTCTTCAAGTCCCTCTTTCCCACTCGGACGAGTTAATAACGGTTGCTCGTTAAATACGCTGAGACATCGTTTACAATGATATTCTTGTCGTTTACTTTTTGA